TTTTGTTTACTATTATTTTACTTATCAAATATATATAAGTAAAATAATAATAAATATATATATTTGATAAATAAAATAATAGTAAATAAAATAATTTACATAGAAATGAATTTATAGGTACTGGGAGTATAGCTCAGTGGAAGAGTATGTACTTAACATGAGACTCTGGGTTTGATCATCAGCATCAAAAAAAAAAAAAAGAAATGAATTTATAAAATATATACATGCAAGAATATATATATGTGGGTGTTTAAAAAAAAAAACAGGAAAATGTCAATAGATGGCAGTTAATTAAAGGATCCCTACTGCCTGCAGTCCCTGGCTCAGCTCAGGGAGGTGGGAGACACATCATCAGCCTTCCGGAGACCTCAGGCGGCAGGGACAATGCCTCTGCCTTATTTCCATCCCACCATAAAGTCCTCTCATATTTAACTAGCACATACCTCCCCAAATTGGGAGGAGCCAGCATCTGTCTCCACAACTTGCAAACTCCAAATTAYCTCTTGTTCTCCATTGCTGGGATCCCTTTTTCCATGCAGATGCCCCTAGGAGTGACTATCATGATCCTTCCCAAAGACCAAAGCCATTTAACCAGGGCAAGCTCTGCATCAGACAAGATTGGAGGCAGAGAATATCTAGGATGCTTCTCTCCACCCTTTCTGTTTTAGTCCATTCAGGATGCTGTAACAAAATGCTACAGACCAGGTAACTTACAAAAACAGACATTTATTTCTCACAGTTTTGGAGACTTGGGAGATCCAAGGCGCTGGCAGATTTTATGTGAGTGAGGGTCCACTTCCTGGCTCACAGAAACTATCTTTTTGCTTTGTCTTCACCTGGCTGAAGGGACCAGGAAGTTCTTGGGTTATCCCTGTATAAGGGCACTGTTGTATTCTCCATCCCTGGAGATCTACCCTCATGACTTAATCACTTCCCAAAGGCTTCACCTCCCAATAGCGTCACATTTAACATGTGAATTTAAGGGAGGGGACACAAACCAGTCTATAGAGCCTGTTATACCACAAAAATGGCCCCCAGAGTCACATGGAACTAAATAATGGAGGAAAGCTGACAGACAAATCCCCCTTAAATGGGTTCTTCTGACACTGACTTTTCTGAAGTGTGTAGAGAGATCAGTGGGAATCCTCATTATTCACCATCAATTCTGTGAACTCTCAAGCTCCACCACACTCATAACTCAAAGGAAATGGTTCAAGTCCGGAAGGGAGACATTGATAGATGACTGGAGGCCACCATGGGAGAAGAGCAGAGAAGGAGTGGGCTGAGGAAGAGGGGGACAGCCATGTCCTGGAGCCAGAGCTAGAAACGGTTGAGGCTCACAGGAAACTGAGACATCTGAAGCTGAAAAGACACTGGACATCTGAGAAGCAAAGCAGGTTAAACTGGAATCGAGAAGTCGGAGTGAGTGAGCCTCATCAAGCAGAAAAAGCACAGCTGATGAAAGAAGAAAGACTTTGTTCCAGAGAGACCCACTGCCCCGACTCAGAGGAGCAGCTGGCATTGAGAAGGAGCCAGGAGACAGAAAGAGACCACCAGGCCCGGGGAGCGGGGAGCCTCCCTGCTCCTTGTGATGGCTGGGATGCAGATCCGAAGAGCCAGGCTGCTGAGACCCCAACGTGGTCAGGACCTTGGCTGGGAAGAGCCTTCTGTAGCCTGTGGATGGACTGTCTGCCTGAATCTCCCAGCCGCGCTCCAAGCTGTTTCTGTGATTTTGTGTAATTACAAAAAGCCCTGCCTGGGCAGCGGATGTGAGGGGAAAGCTAATCTGTGATTCCCAGCAGGAAAGAGGGACTTGCTGAAATGGCCTCACTGCTGTGGAATGACACAGACCACTCAGTGCACTCTCACTACACATCAGCTTCCCTGTCCCGGGAGGTCTCAGATGAGTCTGGGGGTGGCACGGCGGCCCGTGTTTCCTCGCATCAACTAATGAGGAAGCAAATGAAGGAGAAACAAATTGGCTCCGCGGGCCAGGAAGGGCTGGGGTGCGTGAGACTCTGCCCGTGTCTCTCCAATCTGACTTAAGCTCCCCGTGAGCTGCTTTATTTTCATAGAAGATGAGAGATAAACCAAGAGCTCCGAGGGACTCTGCACAAATCAAAGACCTGCTGACCACAGTGGCCACAGCTTCCCCTGTACCTGGCATTGTGGGGATGGGGAGGAGCTTGGGGATGGAGCAGGTACCACATCGAGCCACATTCCCTTCACACCTAACAGAGAGCTGGCTTTTATGCATCCACATGTTAGCAGTATTCCCTTCTGTGGCTTCTGTTCCCATCAACTGCTGGGTCATCTGTGAAGGACTAGTGCAAACCYATCCCCTCTGCTGGAGAAAGTGAGGCACCCTTGTTTGCAAGAGGAAAGATCATTTCACTCACTGAGTGTCAACCTGGGCCAAGTACCGTGCTAGGATCTGGGATAACAAGGAAAATACCATCTCTGCATCCACAACTGTAGGACTGAAACAGGGAAGACAGGCAAGTCAACATGTTAATGCAACAAAGTTCACTGTGGGGTCTGACAGGGGAACTGCAGGATGCCAGGGGAGGAACTGATCTCTCTCAAGATGGGCCACATCCAGGGCTGCCATAGGTTGACTATGAATAGTGTCTTCAAAAAGTCCATGGGTTAAAGGCTTGGTGCCCAGGGTGGTGCTATTGGGAAATGGTGGAACCTTTAGCAAGTGAGGTCTTGTTGGAGGTCTTTAGATCACTGTGATTGTGAAACCAGATGAGTCCTCTCACTCTGCTTCCTGGCTTATGATACAGRTGGTTTGTTCTACCATATGCTAAAGCCATGATATGCTACCATCACTTGAGGCCCCAAAATATGGGGCTGCCCAATCTTGGACTAGAATCTCCAGAACCTATAAACCTTTTCTCTTTATATGTTAATTGCCTTAGACAATTCATTATAGTCACAGAAAGCTAACACAAGGGGCAAGGAAGAGGCCACAACTAAAAGCAACATCTCTTACTGTTTTAATCTGAGGAAAGGTTGGGGAGATGGGAGTATAAAGCAAACTCTCAGATGTTTGAGTGGAAAACTCTGTGGTGCAGGGGTATTCAACCTGCTTCCTGACTGTATTAGTAAGGAGTCTCCAGGACAATCCTTCCCTGGGATCTGAGACCCTAAAGCAAATGTCATTTTTGTAATGAGACTATTTCATTACCAGACTATTCCCTAAAGTAGAGGAAGCCTGTAGGCTTAATACAAAATTAAACTACCTGTTGCAAGTTGACCATACTACAGATGGTCCCCAACTTACCATACCATTTACAACTTTTTGATTTTACAGCAGTGCAAAAACTACATACATTTGGTAGAAACCATGCTTCAAATTTTGAATTTTGATCTTTTCCCAGACAAGTAAGATGTAGTGTGCAGCTCCCAGTCGGTCGCTCTGTCACAGGGGAAACAAGTGACATTCCACGGTGCACGGTGTTGCCAGTGTCGTTTGGATACAGGCATTCGATAAGTTCCATGAGATATTCAACATTAATTATAAAGTAGATCTCATAGTAGATAGTTTTGCCCATCTGTAGGCTAATGTGAGTATCCTAAGCACAATTAAGGTAGGCTGGGTACGCTATGATGTTCGGTAGGTGAGGTTATCAAATGCATGTTTGATTTATGATATTTTCAACTTATAGAGGGATTTATTGGGACATAGCCCCATTGTAAGTCGAGGTGCATTTGTACAGCACTTTAAATTGGGGACTTGGTTCGCAGTACTGTATTTTTAAAGAATGAGGTGGGGTAAGGACTCTTCCTTACTGGATGGGGCCTGGGAAGAACACCAGCCAGACCCACAGTGGAGGCTTGGGGGTATCTCCAGGCAGCCGGAGGGTAGCTGGACTTGTGCCTGCTGGAAACGCTGACCCTCCCTCACCTGTACCCCTAAATGGATGAGAAAGGATCCCTTCTGGGACTCTCAGGCCACTAAAATAAATATACCTCCTTCTCCACCATGAGATTAACTGAGTACTCCCTCCCTCTCCCCAGTGGGTGAGGCCCCAGAGCCGTGACCTCCCCTGTTCAGCTAAGGCCACCCACCCTGTCCATCCCCCTGTGTCTCAGAAGATGTGAAGGCAGCATGAAGGTTGACAAGGGTGTTGCCATCCTCCCAGGTCACATTCCTACAAGGAACCTTCATCTAGCCCCACTTCTGGAGGAGAAAATCAGTCCTTAATCAGACTAATACAGAGGTCAAGGCATGTATGTGTGTTTCCTCCTCTGTGCCTCATTTCCAAARGCGGTGTGTAAGAACCAGCTCCATCTTCATCTACCCAATGGGACACTGTGGTTGTGGCCTCAATTGTTCCAACCACCACGCGATCGCTGTGTTCCTCTGTGAGCAGAAGCAGCCTGAACTGAATTTGTCTCTAGCTCTTTGTCAGATAATACATCCCTCTCAGCACAGCACAGCCACACCTCTGCATGGAAGGAAGAAAGCTCTGGTCTCCCCTGAACCCCATCCTGCATCCTTCCCCRGCAGGACTGGAGCTGGGTCTCTTTCCCAGTGGTGGCCCCTGGCAGCAGCTCCATCTGCAGCAGGGCTCTCGAGCTCCAGGAAATTAATCTCCATGTTCAATTACCTTTTGGTAATTTGGTTCATGTCATTTTCCAAAACATCTTCTTTCCTACAGTGGGAAAAGCCCAAGACACAGTCTACACTTCATATCGCTAGAGAAAGGCAGAAACCACCCTGGCACACAACTTTTAATTGATTGATTCCCCCCCCCCCACTGGGCTCTGAAATCAGCTTAAGTAACTCATGGCTCCAAGCTGTTGAATGAGACCCAGAGACCCCAGCGTGCTCTGGTAGGAAAGACCAGCATGTCAAGGAATGAGGATAGGCTAGAACAATATGAATTTGAGTGTTACTTGAGGGTAAATGTTCATGAGATGGTAAAGAAGATGGGGGCAAAGAGGTTTGTGGAGAGGCTGGGMGTGTCATCGGTGTCCAAAGCACTGRGTCAGACCAGCACACAGCACAGCCACTGCAAAAGAAGAGACAGGGTGAGCTCACAGCTTCTAGGGAGCAAGTATCCTTCCACCACCATGTCTCCCAGCCCCACCTAGGCACGACTGTTTATATCCCCACTCTCTAGTGAGTGTCTTCCTCTATCACAGGAAGCCCTTAGCTAAGTCACAAGCTAGTCCCTTAGYCAAAGCACTAGAAAAATGTGGCTTAGAGAAAGCCCTAGACCCAAAGGGGACTTCCAAACATGGTGGGCGGGGGGGGGGGGCAGTGTATGTGTACAGTTGTCCTTCCCCATCCCCAAGTTCTGCCTTGGCGGAGTCAACCAACCACAGGTTGAAAATATTCAAATAAAATTGCATTTGTATTAAACATGAACAGACTTTTTTCTTGTCATTATTCCCTAAATAATACAGTAGAACGACTATTTACATGGCATTAACATTTTACTAGGTATTATAAATAATCTAGAAATGATTTAAAATATACAGGAGATATGCGTAGGTTATATGCAAATATTATGCCATTTTAAATATGGAACTTGAGCATCTGTGAATTTTGGTTTCTGAGGAAGGATGTGGAACCAAGTCCCTGTGGATACCCAGGGACAACTCTGTGTGTGTGTGTGTGTGTGTGTGTGTGTATGTGTGTGTATTTCTCATAATTTTTCTTATTTCTTATACTTCTTATATTTCTATATATGTATACATGTTATTATATATGTTATCTATATTTTTCCTATTTTCCTGTATATGCATCTGTATTATATATATATATATATATATATATATATATATATATATGTACATATATATACACTTCATTTTAGGTTCTGCATTATTGCTTGGACATCTGTAGAAATCTACAGGTATGTTAGAAGGAGGGCCTTTCTTAGATCTCAGAAAAGGGGTCAACAACATTTTCATTTCAGAGAAGAAAGAAATGTGGTTGGGCCAGGCAACTTGGCAGGGTCAGAAATAACCTGGTCCACTGCCTCAGAAGCAGGACCAGGGCTCATACCTCCCACTGACCTGGACCTTTAGGACATGTCAACACCTCCTGCTGCACCCTCAGGCCAGTTAAAGGCTTCTGCTGCCTGAGGCTACAGCTCTTGACTGGCAAGCAGTAGGGTGGTTTCTGCATAAAGCATTATGTAACTTGTACATGGCAAAGAAAAAAAGAACCACTCGTTTATTTTGTATTTTCATTCTACCTTGTTGCAACTTCATTCCTTGTCTCTGATGTCCTTCTATATTTCAACCTGAGATAACTGGCCCTAGAGACTTCAAACTATTCCTACTACCCACAATTCCGTCCAAATTAACAAGAGCTTGCATCTTTGAAAAGATTTGAAAAGTAGTCATTGCTTAATCTTTAAGATAATAATACTAATAAATAACAATGTTTGAAAAACTGCATGATAGACAAACACATTCCTTCCCCCAGGCTCGCCTAGCCCATGCATGGTATTCATGTGGAAATAAGACAGTCAGTAGGAACAAACACCACCCCGCACTACACCACCCCGCACTACACCGCCCAAGAATTTCCAAGAATTTGCACCCTCAGCAATCAGTTCATCAAACCATATCATTTACCTCAGCCAGAGAGAGCTGGACAATTCCATTCTGGTCCTTGTCCAAAAGCCTGAATAATTCTAAAATACCAGAGAAGAATAAAATTAGCCTGTTCCTGGTCTTTGAAACAGAGGGCTGCATCTGTCCCACCCGTCCAGACTTGGAAAACCCCTTTCTCTTACATCCCCCTCCCCTCCAGCTCTTACCTAGCCCCAAGGACCTCCAAAAGCTAGATCTAGGGCTAGCGGTACAGCTCAATAATAGAGCATTTGGCTAGTATACTGAGACCCTGGGTTAGACCCCCAGTATCACCAAAATAGAAAAAAATATTCAAGTTAGATCTAGACTTAGGACCCAGAATGAGCTTTTTTGACAGGAGATGTCCCAAACGGACAAACCTAGTCATCAATAGAGATGGTCCCTTTCACATCTCTACCCTCAAAAGCTTCGTCTCAGACTCTTGTAATTATATTAACAGGAGGTGAAGTAGTGGGTATCCCAGTCCCTTAGCTCTGTCTCTGACTACTTGATCATTTCTTCTTAAGATTTACCACTTCCCACCCTCCCCACCCCACACCCATGAAAGGAAAACCCCCTCTCTGGATGAGGCCTCTTATGGATTATAAAATATCAGGCTCCCAAGGACCAAGGTGGCAGGAGAACACTTACTACTTTCCAGAGAGGACACCATCCCCTCCCTGGATGGCTCCTAATATGACCCTCATGGAAGGCAAACGTGTATAGACACTGAATGCCATGTAAGGACCATTTCTGAGATTCATTCACCTTGACCTAGGGACTGCACATAGTAGGTGCTCAATATTCTAGATCACAGCTTTTCAAATCTCCAAGGAAAGGCAATCTCTGCCCTTGGGCCTGGCCAACAGGACCACCTTCAGCCCCTTTAGTGTCCACCTCCCCTTCCCCCAAGGGAGCCTCAGGTACAGAAGCCCTGGCTGTGATTTCTTAGAACCACTGGCCTCCGAAAGGCAATGTTTGGTCCTGCCCCTGTACTTCAGTCCTGTATATTTGAAAGAGAAAAGGACTCACTGAAAAGGGTCTCCAGGCGGATCATACAAGCAACGAAGCCATCAAAGTCAATGCCAAGCTTGCTACACGMGTACCGCATGGCGATGGTCTGCTGCACTTGGTTGTTGAGGGTGAAACCTGAGGGCAGAGGAGACCTGAGTCACAGGTAGTGGAGGATTCAGAACTGTCCCCAGTAAAAACTCAGTGGGCTGACATTACACGGGCCCCTTCATGATTCTCTCTAAATTGCCAAACCAACTGACTCTGCCTCCCCCAGGGGCTCCCGGAAGGTGTTCTGTCATCCAGTCTCTCTTCTCTTAGATAAGCCTCATCAGTCCCTTCCCTGGTCCAACACTAGCCTCAGCCCTGTCTGAGTCAGGGTCCCATCAGCCATAGCAAGCAAAAGCAGAAAAGGTGAGGGACCGCCCGTGTGGCTGGGCCCCTCCCTGTCCCCTTCAGGGCCCCATTCTCTATAATGGCTGTCACCTTCCCAGTAGCACACGGTTCTTGGAACATTCTGAAGCTCTATGCTACCTAGAGTCCAGAAGCATCCTCTCCTTCCTGAACAGGAAGGGTACTTGACAAAGCTCTGTAGCCACACTGAGCTCCAACAGAAGATGGCCCCGTGATTGGTGCCATTAACAGTCACCATTCTGAGAATAACTATTAAAACTGGGCACATCTGGGTTCTAAGACCTTCTCTACAGGTACTGTCCTCACCTGCTTTCTTGAGTGCTGTCCTCATCTCGTGGGCATCCATGGTCCCTAAGTGGTTATAATCTGTTTCCCGATAGATCTCCTAAAGCAGGACAGAAATTCCAGATAGAGAACAGCAGCCCCTGGCCCACAATAACCATCTCCCTCCACTCTACTGCTCCCTTAGAAGGTGAGGGACATGCTCAAGAAGAGACCTCATTGACTCCTCCCATGAAGGTTCCAGAACAAAGAGAAGGGCTTGGGCTGAAGGCCAGTGCCAGCCCTCTCGCCCTCTGGATAGCACTGTCGGTGCAGGGGCTGGCCATTAGCATCTCTCATTGCTTCCGTGTTCCTTCCTGAACCATGTGTCCAGGTTTGGGTGGTTTTGATCATGACTAAAGGTCTGGTCAGACTAGGGTCCAGACCAGGAATGAATGCCATGGAGGGTGAGAATAGAGGAAAGGGGCCAAGGCCCAGAAGCTGCCCACGAGGGAGAGAAGAGTTACCAGATACTTGTGGATCTTCAGCCACAGCGTCCTGAATTCCACCGGTCCCAAGGTGCCTGTCCCATGGCTCTAAGCAGGTTAAAGGCCAACATGGTTGAGCCCCAAACCTACATGCCCTAAGGATTTCTTTCTCTTGTGAGTGTACATGATAGCCATAAGCCCTCAGTGAACCTTCTACTTCTGCAGCAAGAGAGCAACAGGGTGATGGTGGGAAACAGATTCAAAGGCAGATTAAAAAGCCAGACACCCACCAAGGCCCTTCTTTGAAGTCAGACACAGAGGTAGGAATAAAGAGCATATATCACCACCCTGAAGACCTCCTAGCAATATCACTAATTAGCATCAACCGAGCTCCGTGATATGCAAATTCATTTCCAGATTTAAATTTCTGTGACTGGTCATTCAAATGACAGTTTGTTCGAATGTCAACATGTTATCAGAAAAATGATATCAGAAAAATCCTCAGGAGGCCCCGGATCATGATTCTCAATCAAACAGTCTCCCACCAGCCACTGCATAACTAAATCAGGTGTTTTAGTTATGCATCATAACTAAAACTTTTCCGTGTCCAATTTGGGTTCCGTCCACCAGTGAACCCTGAGTGCTGTGCCACCCTATGGGACTCAGTTCTAAACTGGACTTAACCTCGTGAAGTTTAGTCTCTTTGAAAGTCTACCTTTTTTTCACCACAACAAAATGAATAAACACCAGCATATTATAGCACTATGTTCAAATTCTAAAACAGACCACTGATCACTTCCTTAGCCAGCGGAAATTCTTGCAAAACTCACTGCTATAGATTGGATCTGGAATGTCCTCCTACTGTGTGTTAAAGCCTTGGTCTCCAGCTTGGTGTCATTGGAGGTGGTAGAACCATTAGAAGTGGGCCTAGTGGGAGACTCTAGGTCATTGGAAGCATGACCTTGAAGGGGTATTGGGACTCCGGCTTTCTTTCTCTCTCTCTCTTCCACCTTGGCTTCCATGAAGTAAGTTGTTCTGCTCCACCTCATACTCACACCATGATGTGCTGCCTGACCATAGTCCCAAAGTAATAGGGCAAATAAATTATGGACTGGACCTCAAAAGCTGTGAGCCAAAATAAACCTTTCCTTTTTATAAATTGATCATTTCAGGTATTTTGTTACAGTAGTGGACAGCTGACGAACACACACCCTTTAAGAAAGTCTATGTTCTTTTATCTATGATCAACACTGAATATTGACCACAGCCTTCAAAGGCTTACTAATAATACAAACAACATATCTGAGGAGAGTACTATACACAGGAAGTTAAAACCCTGTGTCTAGGCACTTCATGTACTTGCATCTCATTTCACCTTTATGATAGCCACACAAAGTAGATATTATTATCCCATTTTTTCCAGGGTTGGGGGAGACTGAGGTTCAGAGCATTTAGCAACTTACCCAAATTTATACATCTAACAAGTGGTGGAGCCAGAATCTGGACTTTTGTCTGTTCCAAAGTCCTTGTGCCAGAAAACCAGTAGTTCTAAATTCCAGAGGAAATTGCCTATAGAGACCAGACCTCTAGGCAGCATCTCCAGGACTGAAACTCAGGYAAGTGTATTTTCAAATCTCTGTGGATAATGAAGTACTAATATACGCTATAGGACTTGAAACATCATGCTAATGAAAGGARCCAATCACAAAGGACCACATATTCTATGACTCCATTTACATGAATGTCCACAATAGGCAAATTTATAGAGCCAATAGATTAGTGGTGGCCTAGGAATGGGAGAAGATGAGGAGTGAGTTCTAACATGAATACAAGGTTTCTTTTCAAAGCAATGTGGTGATGGTTGTTGAAATGGCTAATTTGAAGTGTCAACTTGATTGGATTAAGATGATTATGGGGGTGTCCGTGAGAGTCTAGGAATGATTGGCATGTGGGATAGCCAACTGAAATGGAGACCCTCCCTAAGTGTGGGGAGCATTGACCAATATGATGACGGCTTGGATGGAATAAAGATCGGAAGAACAAGGAACCAGCAGCAGATGCAAGCTCCATTCTTCTTGAACGGGGCTTTGATTGCTGCTGTGATCATCTGAGGATATCAGACTTTCTCTTCTTCACTCTTCCAAAGCGGACTCTGACAGTGATTCACTAGAAGGCTTAGGTCTCAGACTAGGGTGGCATCATTGATCCCTCTTGTTCTGGGGCTTCAACCTCTTGAAGCTACTGGTTGTTCCAGCTCTCCAGCCTGCAGACCGCCATTGTGGACTATGCAACTTCTAGTCATGTAAGCCAACCTAATAAATCCCTTTGTTATAATTATTCTTCCTGTTGATTCTGTTCCTCTAGAGAATCCTAATACAGTTGTACAACTCTGAATCTACCAAAAACCATTGAACTGGACACTTTAAGTGGCTACATTATATGGAACATGAATTATATATTAACTAAGCTGTTCTTTTTAAAAAAAAATCTATATGGGTGGCTCTGCTGAACACCATGATTCAGAACCACTGCCCTGAACTATTTAATCTGTGGAAGAAAAACTCTTGAAGAGTGACAGAATCACAGTCCTCTTGGAACTGTGAGAGATACAAATACCACTGGGACAATAAGGGGTTAGCTACATAGTAACTCTAGGATTCGAATTAAAGTCCACAGGCAAGGTTTGATGAGAAAGATTCAGAAACTAAGGAACTATTTGCAGCAGAATAGATCAACCCTTAACAGTTCTCCATGGTCCATAAACTACTGGAAGGACACAGGGCTGAACAGCTCCAGCACTGTACAGGGAATAGTCTTCTGCCATTCTGGGACCACTAAAGAGCACCATCTCTCCATCACTGATAACCCAGCAGTACATGAACTCTGCTGCTCATGATGCACTCCATGAAAACTACACAAAGGAAAATCAGTCCTCCTGTCCCACTCCATTATTAGTGAAGAATCCTGCAGAAAAGGGCATCATATCTCAGGATGGATGAGCCCCTAAGAACTGAGGACAACCTCCCAAAGCTCTAAAGCTTCTTTATCGCCAACATTGTGGAGAATGGTAACTTAGAGCTGCCCAAGGCAAAACTTGAAAAGATGAAATGATGTTGGACCATCCATGCTTAGCCTTAGCTTTCCCCATCCCTCCCTAAAGTTCCTACCCACTTGCTATAGACTGGGGGTTTTATCCCCCTAAAATTCATATGTTGAAAGCTGATCCCAGTATGAGATAATTAGGCGGTAGGGCCTTTGGAAGAAATTAGGTCATGAGAGTGGAGCCTTCACAACCAAAATTAGTGTCCTTATAGAAGGGACCCCAGAAAACTCATTCCTTCCCCCTTGTAAAGTTATAGTCATGAACCAGGAAGCAGTTCCTCACCAAACACAAAAATCTGCCATGCCTTGATCCTGGACTTTCTAGCCTCCAGAATTTAATAAATAAATTTCTGGTGTTTTGTTTTGTTTTGGTGGAAGGTGGATACCTGAGATTGAACTCAGGGGCTCTTGATTACTGAGCCACATCCCCAACCCTATTTTGTACTTTATTTATAGACAGGGTCTCACTGAGTTGCTTAGCACCTCACTTTTGCTGAGGCTGGCTGTGAACACATGATCCTCCTGCCTCAGTCTCCAGAGCCACTGAGATTACAGGCATGCGCCACTGCACCAGGCATTCCTGGTGTTTATAAACCACCCAGTTTATGATATTCTGTTATAGCAGCTRGAAAAGATTAAGACCATTCCTTGACAGGAAGAGAGTGTTAAGTTAGATCAGACAGAAAATATCTTGTGTGATGATTGTATAGTATTGGTAGAGAAAGTCCAAAGACCATGTAAAGTTTCTGAAAAAAGTCCTCCTCATAATGGGCAATACTAGATGGATGGTGGGACCGAAAGAGGAACACTGCAGTTCCCAATGTGGGTGGCGGAGGAGGGCACAATACCACCCATTTGCTATCTTTAAATTGCATGATTTTAGACAAGCCACTTAAACACTGCCTGCCTCTTTTTTTTTAAACCTGGAAAGCAGAGATAATCTCAAGTTTATTGAGGAATATTCATGAAATGATACCTTTTTCTTTGAAACTCAACCACGATTTCTAATACATGCTCAATATATTTTCCCCCTTTTCTACTCTGCCCTCCTTTCCTACTGGAAAAGGTGGAAGAATCTTTAAAAACAGTAAAAATAATGTGACATATAAAGGATACATCCAACAGACTGATCATTTCCCTGCAAGTATTGATGTTGAATCCATTGAATTTAATGTCTGTTCCTAAAGATTGAAATAGAAAAGAGGGTGAGAATGAGGATTATTTGAAAATAAGGGAAATAAATAACCTCCACAGTAGGAGACCACCAAAGACACCAGCCAGACTATGGAGCTGAATGTGGGTCTCCACAAAAAAAAGTGAGAACACTGTGATGGGCTCATGGGCAGATACCCCCCAAACCTCCTGGTGCTAACAAGCACCAGAATCAGAGTTCAATCTCTGAACCCCGAATTTGCTGCTCATAAGCATGGATTGGGCAGATTAATATCTGAAAGCTTAGTTTCCTTCTCCATCAGATGARAATGATAATGATAATATTAATGCCAATACTTGCCCCAAGAACTGGTGAGCATTAATGAGATGATGTAAGTGAAGTGTTAACCCAGAGATTGGTATATAAATTCTAAATAAAACAGCCAAATTTTCACTAGCAAGATATTGTTCTAATCACCTATACATCTACTCTTCCAAACCACCTGATTTGGTAGATGCCATCATTATCCCCACTTTATAGATAAGAAAACGGAGGCCCAGCCAGGTTATGGAGTTTGCTCAAGGTCACACCACCAGTAGAGGGCAGAGTTGGGGCTCCACCGGCTACACTTTTAATTACAGTGTACTGTCACTCAATTGAGCACTGCTATTCATCCCTGGCCTCTAACTTGACTCACACCTGGGAGTCAAGGCAGGTGTCAAAGACCCTGCAGCCTTCTCCTCTTCTCTCCACTCTTCTCAACAATAGCAGCAGCAAGAGAGGAGCAGAGGATGAAGAGACATCCTGAGCCAGGGCCTGGGCTCAGAGCCCTGGGGAGCTGCTCAGCCCTATATCCATCTCCAGGAAGCCCCTGCTTCCTGTATTCTCATTCAGGGTGAAAGACAGCCTTTACTCCACCAACTGGAAGACTTAACCAGGCCCATCCCTGGACCAGAAGAGAAGGAGGCTCCATACCAACTCCCATGGTGCTGAGGTTTAGGCTAGGACAGTCAGAATCATCCCTTCTATACTGCCTCCCCAGATGGCTACAGAAGAAGGCCCTTAATCTGCCATGTCTCATGGTACAACCATATTAAATGTGTGATACAGTGTCACATAAGTCAATTGCAGCCCAGACTCCCAGGACTCAGCAAATGATTGCATTTGACATCACAGGTTATTGATCCATTGCACAAGGTCTAGCTGATCTCCAGCACCTCCCTCACGCCCACCCAGTGCCTCCTCCTCACTGGTCTCTCCTGCCTTATGGCTCCCATCTTGCTGGACCTGTGGAGTCAGAGGCCAAAGTCCCCCTTACAGTGATCCTGGCTAACTTCTGCCAGCCACCTCCCTCAATCCCACCCCAGCATATTTCTTAGGTGCCCACAGACTTTCTGAGAGGCCCCAGGGAGGAACTTACGTTTGGAAAACACCCCATTCAGAACTGTCTTGAGCTTATTGGCACCGATCTCAGAATCCTAGAAAGAGCAACCAATTGCAAATCATGTCAGCCCTGCCAAGCTACTTAAAGATGCTAAATGAATTCAGAGCTTTTTCCATGGTCAGACACCCAGCCCACCAGCCTTGTGATCTTAAAAGCATACGACAGCTTTAAAAACTCAAATTCTACATTTCCTTTGGGGTCCCCAACAGCCCAGCAGGGGTGTGTGCTAACACTGTGAGCTTGGTGCCCACCGCAGCAGAAGGCTGCCTGCCTCCGAGGCTCTTGCTTCCTTGCATGGGGCTTGCCTAAACAGAAAACAAAGTGTGACAAGTAGCAATAACAGGAGCCAGCTCAGATGCGCCACACACACGATATGGGATATACTTAAATCCATAACACAAGTCTGTTCCATGTTACAGTTAAAGAGCCATGGTTTTGTAAACTGCTAAATGCATGATGTCATTTGCCATTTTCATGGGATATGATGGCTTGAGGTTCATAGTTACCAAGTAGTGGAGCTAGGATTGTCTCATCCCAAAGTGCCACTTTGTTCCACTGCACCTGTGGGAATTGCTATTTCATGCAGAAGCCCATTTCAGACTGGGACTTGATATTTAGAGGAGCAGGATATACCCTGTATATTTCTGATAAACACTGAGCCAGAGGGAAGATTCATGCCTTAACCCTCCAATGGAAGACGGGATCATGAAGGGGCACTGAACCGAGAGCTGGGATCCAATCTGAACCTYGCTCCTTATCCTGTGTCCTTGGCACAGCTACTTGCTCTCCTCCCTAGCCAGGCCTTGGCACTGGAAAAAGAGAAAACAGAGCCACCCAAGGCAGTATTTCCTGTGAGGACAGCTGGCCTCACTGGGGCACAGGATGATCAGTCCCAATAATAACACCTGAGGTCCTTCTGAGAAGCCTCCAGGCCAGAAGACAGCCCTCATTTGCCTGTCAGGGAAGAAATGGAATGTTGAGAGTCTACATTTGAACCTTGGCCCTGTGTCTCGTGAGGCTTGATGCCCTCAACCAGCTCCTTAACTCCCTGTGCCTGTCACGTCCCCAGCAGAATGGGGAGAGTGGCCAGTGCCACCCTCCTCAGCAGAAGAAAGAAGAAAGATAGGTATAGGAAGAACTCGACACATATGAGCTTTTCTATCATTCTGGATGTTCTAAATAAAACATGGCCTCTTGGTAGGCTTTTGTTAGTAAAAACATTGTCCTGAGCATCTAAAACATGAACTGACTTTTGGCAAGGATTTTTCTCCAATGGCAATGTAAAAGAACTGTTGGCAGGTTTTCTTTTCTGCAAAGATTTCTGATGCATCTTCTTCCATTGCATCGTTTTTATTGTTATTACTCTTTTTTAGATAGGGCCTTGATATGTTGCCCAGGCTGGTCTTAACTCTGGGGCTCAATCSATCCTCCTGCCTCAACCTCCCCAGTAGCTGGGACTATAGACACATGCTTCTGTGCTTAGCTTCCATTCCAGCCTGAAGTCTAAAAAGTCTCCCAGCTTTTCCAGGGGATGGAGAGCACTGCCTTTCCTTTCCTGAGGTCTTTTGGGCAGGTTATTATGCTCCAAAGAACAGGGTCAGTCACTCTTTATGGGGCCACCTGGGGCACTTTGAGTTCTGGGTAAGCTCTAATGACCAAAACAAAACTCAGCCTGCAGTGCAGAGAGGAAGAATCGGGGCAGCTCTCTCTCTGCTTCAATCACCCCGTTATCACGTTCGCACCCTGTCCAAGCTTGGGTTCTGCAGGCTGAGCACTCACTGCTGGTCTCTTGGGCCAGTGGGCCTAGCTGTGCCTCCAAGCCCAGGCTAGCTTAACTGAGCTTAACTGAGCTGCTTCCTGCTTCCTGCCTAGGCTGGGCAATCCCACCTCCAAAGGGTATCAATTTAGAGAGATTTTGCTGCCCAGAAGCCCCGATCAACAGAATCTAGAGATTCCGCTTTTCTGTTTTCTCAAGTCAGGGAGAAAAATGACCTCAAGACAATGATTACTCCCCCCAAGCAGTGTAGGAAAGGACCCTGTCCTCTGAGAGAATGAGGGGACAGGCACAGAAGCTGGGCACCCAGAAAATGCGGCTTCATTTTCTGGGCTCCTCAGACCCAAGGGAATACATTTGACCAGAGCATTCTTGAGTGTGTTCCTGGCCACCTGGGAAGTTGCATCTGCCCTCCACTCACCTTCCCTGCAAATTCCTCAAACAGGCTCTGGATCTGCTTGTCTTCTTGATCCACCTCACTGGGATGTGGCTAAGAGGAAAGGACAGTTGCAAAGTCAAGATGGGAATCACAGGAGAAAAATGAAAGCAAAGATTCGCTATGCATTCATTCATCTATTAGTATCTATTGTGCGTCAATCCTGTGTCAGGTTTGGGGTTAAATGGGAATGAACAAGAGAGCCATCTGAGGTCCCTGCCTGAGAGGGCTTAAGATCCAGCAAGGATGCCCTGCCACAGCCCAGGGGATCCTCTCTGAGTTACGTGGGAAGTGAACCCCCACTCCAACACACACACACACACACACACACACACACACACACACACAATTCCTAATTTCAACCCTGAAAGCAGTTCAGAGAACAAAAACACTGACACCGAGAAATCTCCATCTAGGTCTGTGGACACAGGATCCTATGGGATCCACTGAGGACCTTCATAGGGACCTGTGAGCTCCATAAATGGCATGGAAATTTGGGGTCCTATTTATATGTATTTTCCTAGTTTTTATCAGATTCTCAAAGAACAATCCTGTTATGATTTGGATCTAGAATGTTCCTCTCCCAAAGACTCACATGTGGAGGGGTTGGTCCCCAGTGTAGCAGTCAGTGTCCAGAGGTGGGGCCTGTGGGAAGTGATTGGGATCCTGAGGGCTCTGTTTTCATCAGTGGATTAATTCCTTGACAGCTCAATGGACTATTGGGAGACGATGGAAACTACGGGTGGTGGGGCATGGTTAGAGGAAACAGATCACTGGGAGTGTGCCCTGGGAAGGTGTTTGTCTCTGGCCTCTCTGTTGTTTTTCCTGGATACTTGTCACAGTGACAAAAAGCCAACTAATACAAATACGATTAAAAAGTGGTTGAGAACACAGCCTAATTAGATACAGCAGAACTAAAAGCCAGAAGACCAGGGCTGAAAGAGCACATTGGCCACTTACTGGATCCCATGTCAGGGCTCTGAATATTCCATTTCCTCAACTCTAATATTAAATTAACTTGAGCTGTTTCATAGGGTCATTTTGAAAATCAAATAAGCACTAATGTATGTCAAAGTCCTTTGAAAATCACAAACCATTATAGGAATGCCTTTGACCAGAGACTTTCTGATATGATAATGGGCTCCATCCAAAATTAAACAATCCTCCAACTGTCACCACTAGACAGAAAAGTCACAGCTTCCCAGAGGGTTGGAAGAGCTTTCAGAGGGCCAGGTCAATGTCTTCCAAAACCATCAATAAGATAAATATAAAAGGCCCAATACAGCCTGACAGTTCTACACTAATATAAGTAACAACAGTAGGAATCAAAATCACTTTTGTTGAATACTTGCCACCATGAGGTACTTTATATGAATTATTTCACTTAACACTCATGACTATACTGTGAGGGGGTCTCATTACTACTCACACTTCACAGACAGAGAAATTTTTTTAACTTAAAGAGTTAAGTAAGAGGACCAGATCACACAACCAGTAAATGATGGAACCAGGATTCAAACTCCAGCTACACACTTCTCCACCAATATCTAAGATGATAACCAGAGATTTCAGAATAAATGAGTGAACTGTGACTTAGAGACTTATAGGGGAAGAAAACAGAGACTCTGGAAAGCAATGACCTTTCCTGTCTCTGGCATCCTATTGCTCTCTGCAACTCATTCTCAGCCTCTCAGGGCTGTTTCCTCACTCATCACAGGAGGAATGTTAATGCCTACCATGACCAATAAGATGAGGAAGGGGTTGGGTTGTGGCTCAGTGGTAGAGCGCTCGCCTAGCATGCATGAGGCACTGGGTTCCATCCTCAGCACTGAATAAATGTAAAATAAAGATATTGTGTCCACCTAAAACTTAAAAATAAATATTAAAAAATAATAAGATGAGGAAGTCCAAAAACACACATGTATATTTTTTAGAAGGAAAAAATGATAAATACTTCCTACCTCATACATATGATTTTAAAGTAGTTTTGCAGGAGGAAAAAAGCCAAGGTTATATTGCTCATGTAATGCGGACCACTAGAACCTAGTGAGAAGTCTATAAATTCTAGACATGAAATAAAAGTCTATTATTCTGGGAAAACGGTTTACTAAAACCAGGGAATGGATATGAGCACCTACTGGCACAGAGCAGGCACTTGGCCACTAGGGGGATCATTGGACACAGGGGAATTTTTAGACACAGGGAATGAGAACTATGTATTCATTATGATGGTAAAAACATAACTTAAGTTTGTTCATTCATTCAAAAAGGACTTACTCAACACCTGTCACAAGTTGGGAACTGTCCATCATCTGTGTCTGAATGCATTGATGCATTGTTCTCAAGGAATTTATTATCATGGAATTAGCTGCTGTCCTCATAGAATATATGCTAAAAAACTTTTCAAATGATAAGRTGATATGGCAAACTCAAGGAACTAGTTTCTTGTTATTATGTCACCTGTTAGTGACATCTTTACAGCCCTGCTCAAAGTAACACATCTAAATTCCAATCTTTTGTTGGTTCACCCTCAATTTTTTTCCTCCGCGCATTCTAAGCAGGTTCTCAGGCCCTTTGAGCATCCAACTGTCCATGACTTAGAAGTTTCTGGAGGGAGGAAGAGAAGTTATGGAAGGCAATAACTCTTTCTTTCTCTTGTAAAGTCCTGAGTTCCCTGAACACAGTATCACTGTATTACGTGTGTGCATGTATCCGTGTACTGTGTGTATATGTGTGGTATGTGTATACATGTGGTGTTTGTATGTGTATTTGATATGTTTGTGTGTGGATGTATGTGGGGGTATTCATGTGAGGGGTATGATATGTGTATGTGTATGTGTATAGCATGTATGTAGTATATGTATGTAATTCATATGCCCAGTTTGTGTATGCTAGGTGTGGGGGAAGGTGTTGGGGGTATGTAGTATGTGTGAGCTGTGTGTATATGCACCTGTGTGGTATATATGTGCTGTGTGTGTGGTGTATATATGTGTGGGTATGTATGTGTGTTTTGTGTATGGTGTGTATGTATTTGTGGAGTGTTTATGTAGTACGCATGTGTGATGAGTGTATGTGGTACGTGCCTGTGTGTATGTAGTGTAGCATGCGTGTATCAGGGAAAGCTGCCCCCAGAGARAAAAAGCAGAGTTTCTAGGATATTAAGGTTATATCGGAGGTCCACAAGGTCTTGGAATACTAGGAACCTTTGTATGGCTCCATAGCCAACTCGGGGGACCCCAGAAGGCTGACCCCCTGCATAGGGGATCCTCTTCATCAAGCCACAGGCCAAGTGCAGAAACCCAAAAGCTGTCATCTGTGCAAGAAGCTAAAGGCTGACCATAGGCTGACCAATCTGCATCCATGGCAAGAAGAAGTGTTGTTTTAGGGCTTCAGAAAACCTCAAGACAATGGGAGATGAAGATGGGGAGTGATGACCAGCCTCGTCCAAGGGAGGCTTAGAGTGGGTGTGAAGCTGATTTAGCAGAAACAAACAAACAAAAAGACTCAGATCCCTACTCCACCCTGGAGAACTGACTCTTCTAACATGCCTGGGTCTGACAGTAAGAGATGCCACTGTGAATGATCAGTCCCCTAGGGGCAGCAAGGAGGCTGAGCTGGCATCTGCAACTGGGGGAGGTGAGAGCGGGAGGAAGAATTCTGTCTGGCTAGGCCACTAGGAGCCACAGCACAGGAAGGACCTCTGGGGCCAGGCATTGCAGCTGACTTGAGGCAGGAGGCACTATGACAGTGGGTTGCAGTACTGGGCCCCAGGACCCAGGGGAGCAATCACATCAGAGCAGACTAACCCGAGTAGGAAAGGACAGACAGTGGAGGTGTGCTTTTCTATCTGATAGACTCCCAACAAAAACCCCCAGGGCAAGCTGGGTCCTTATTTGTCATTTTCTCATGCATCTTCAGAAATACCACCTTACAAATTTGATATATGTCCAGTAATAAAATATGCCTGCCCCCACCTCCATTCAGCCAAGGACAGCAGCTCAGCCCCTAGGATGAAGGTTGCTTTATGTGGTATCTGCAGCCAGAGACTCCTCAGTCCATTTGGGTAGGCGGGGGATGGAAGCTGGGCCTATGCCCCCATAAAGATAGTCCTGCCCCACCCCTGGGCCCTGCACCAGTGCCTGCACAGGGTGACCCTCAGAGAGCAGCAGCATGGTAATGCCACACACATCTGAGAAAAAGGACAGGAAAYTGAAGACACAGTGAGGGACCAAGGGAGGAGTTTGGTGAACCCACACTGCAAACCAGATATACTTCTTCCTCCAAAGGTGGCTCTGAACTCACCTCCTCCATGGGGCCTTCCCAGAGTAAKTGCTACGCCAGCACCCCTAAATCCCTCCCCTTTGCTGCCCCAGCCCTACACACATGCAAGYTTAGGGAAGGTGTGCACTTCCTTTCATCTTTTTTCATATGCTTCCACCATTTGTCCTCCAGAACCCTGGAGATCAATCCAAGAACAGGGGACTCTATCTATTTCTCCCATTGACTTCTTTATCCTGCACAGAACGCTCAAGCACACAGTGAGTTCTCACTGTGGGTTCACATGACTGAATGTGGCAAATGCTAAGACCTGTCCCCTAGGGAGTGGGGATGCATTACAAAGCCTGCGTTCCAGTGCTATTTCTATCTCATCTTCTCAGGAAGAGCCAGCACCTGGAAAAATATTGTGGACTTGATGAATAAGAAGTTGCCATCCTGAATATGTAAAGAACTCTGTTAAATCAACAAGAAACTCCCAACCACTGCTATGCAATATGTCAAAACTTAGAATAGTAAGAGACTGCATACCTCATGTGGATTTCCAGCCACAACATTTCCAATTTCCCTGAAACACAAAGAAAAAAAAAAAACATGAGAAAGTTAAAAGCTCAGCTAATAACTAGGTTCTTATGGGAAGTTTTTGGCCCTTCTGAGGAACTGACTGACCACCTGAGACCTACAATTCCTACTAATAACTGCATAAACTGAATCTTCAACCAGAATCCCTCCCCTTGGCTGCCCAACCCTCACCCCTCCCTGAATTTTTTTATCAGAGACAAGAGCTTCAAGTTAAGTATTCTCTCTRATGGATTCTAGAAGATCTAGCCTGGTGATTTCTGGGGAGTTTTTCCATTACCTTATCCCAGTTATCACTCTTCTCCTTCCCTGGGGACGTGGTTACATGAATCCCTGTTGAAATGACCTTACGGAGATGAGCCAGCAAGAAACCACAGCCCTATGTGCAYGTATGAACCATATACCTGTGGCCCCTGCACCTGTGTGTGGCCATTTCCCTTGGCTGGCCTGGCACTCAGGCAACCTTAAGCCCCACCTCGGAGYGAAAGGAGACTCACAGGGCCTTGGCCTTCTTCTCGGAGAACACYCTCAAGCAGAAGTCGCCGTCCTTGAAGGGCTCAAATGTGGACGGCACCACCAGGTACTCCCCAGGGGGCAGCCGAGCCCGGCCAGACACCTCCCGCAGGTTGACATAGGTGCCGGAGCGAGTGGAGGGCTGGTGACCCAGGAAGAAGTCCCGGCCCAGGTGTATATCTGTGTGACTTTCCAGCTGTAAGCAATAGGCAGAATCAATTTCTTTCTAAATCCTGAAGATGAGAGCTAAGAGCTGGGTTTTATAGTGCTGATTTAGGGATCATTGATTTTTAACACCACTCCTGAGAATCAGAAAGCCTTGCATTCTGTCATGATCTCACTGGGTATCAATCATCAAATGTATCTGGAGCATCTTCTGKGTGCCAGGCCCTGTGGGAGGCACTGACTTGACTGCTTGAGAGAGGCCGGACCTTTTCTCTCTGAACCTCCCCAAATTGAAAGGTTGAGCCCAGGACCTCTGGTGTGTGCTATTTGGGTAGCTTTCCTCCTAATTCCAATAGACTCTTMCTCTGCAGTTATCCCTGTAGATGTGACAGGGACCTTCCCAGTCCAGACCCAAGACTGGAGAGTGAGCTTTGATGTTGGTCCTTAAGCACAAGCTGCCAGATGGGCCACTCACTCCTGGCCACCTGGGGAAATTACTCAGCAAGGTGACTGAGGTGGTCARGCTGGGGCCAAAGAGGGAGCTCTGAAGGAGGCAGGCAGAGGAGGCAGCCACAGCCAGCCCAATTGGGGGTCCCTCCTGGCCTCWTCAGGGCCTAGTTCTCCTCCCAGAGGGGAAGATGCTCCCTAGGAACCCCTTATCTGTTGTAGGGAAGGGAGAGGCTATTGGTTTGTGGCACAGGCTAATTAGTGACTGCAGAGTGCTTCGAAAACACAGGTGCCACTGTGGTTATTGCTGTAATTAAGCCTCCCATGGCACTGCATCTTTATGATCAATCTTCATCATGATGTCTGTGACAGAGGGCAAGTGCTGATAAGCTGCAAGGGCTAMGACTTCTGCGTGACCTGGATCTAGAATACCCACCCTGGAGTGGGCTGTGTCCAAATGTGGTCATTTCTTGAACCACTCGTCTGCTGAACAGGAGAGGAAAGAAGAGCCACCTGTCCCCATTGCCCTGGCCAGGATTTCACAGAGATCCCGCAGGCAGCCCCTGCTGACCCAGCAGTCACAGTGCTTGATATTCCTACTGAAAATATTTACACTCTGGGCATAAGAATGCTGGGGGCATGATCAACAAGGTCATGGCTAAGGCCTAAATGTCATGAGTTATGTGTGTGTGTGTGTGTGTGTGTGTGTGTGTGTGTGTGTTTCCCCAGTGTGGGAATGAAACCCAGGAACTCATGCATCTTACGCAAGTGCTCTACCATTGAGCTACATCTCCAGCCCTAGTTAAATGTTATTCTTGCCATCCCTGAAGATAACAAGGGAAGAGAGAGAGAGGGCCCCTTCAGAGGAAATACTAAGTAACGTTGAAACGGGGAAGCAGTGGGGAATGAAATTGACCAAATTGTATTGTTCTGTTGTGTGCACTTACAAATAGGTAACAACGATTCCTGCTATTYTTATTTAATTATAATGCACCAATTTAAAAAAAAAGAAGAAGAAGGAAATGGAGAAGCAAACTCTAATTGGGTTGAGCTGGGAAGGAGGGAAGCTGAGTTCCAGGGTGGAGCAGCTTAGAGAAGCCCTGTTTGGGAAGTYGGGGTGGGAATTGGAGACACTAACACAAGAGCTGGATCCCCTCTTCCTACCAGGAACCCCCCACAAGCTAGGGCAACAACATCCCTGACCTTAAATATTCTCTCAACTTGACTCAGGAGCAAAGGGACAGGAATCCAGCAGGTTTAACTGATTGTGCTTCTCAAAGTGTGGGCGCAGACCAGAATCAGTATAAGAAACCTAGGGGCAATGCAAATTACTGGGCTGGACACCTACAAAACCAGAAACTAGGGAGTGAGGCTCAGCCACCTGTGCTTTAGCAAGCCCTGAAGGAGATTCTGAGGCAACTTCAAGTTTGATATCCATTGACCTAAAGACTCACTGACACTTGGAGAACACAAGATCCACAGGGTCACACTGAGGGAACCATGAGATGCTATCGAGGAAAGTTCCACTGCCTGCATGTATATGATCCCTCACTCATATTAATGGGGCATTTCTGATGGGAACCACCATCAACTTGATTTAACTCAGGTTTGGTTTTAATTGAAGTTSCAAAGACGTGTTTGCTCTGAATCATCCATATGCCCTTGTCTGTTCCCTCCATAATAAAATGCATTTGTGATCCAAGGGCAGGGTAGACCAGTAGTCTCTAACAATTTATAGGCCTGGAGTCTGTGAATATTGCTCTTGTTGGTATATGTTACATCACTGGACAAACCTGAGAACCTGAAAAGGCCGGAGGAAGGCTGCAACAGGGCAGGTACACTGCTACATAGTGAGTGCAACTGACTCCAGAGCTGACTCCAGAGCGGAATCGTGGGTCTCAGCCTTGACTGTACATTGGAATCACATGGGTCATTCACAAATCTATGATGCCTKGATCCTCCACCCCCACCCTAGAGATTCTGATGCAGCTGAGCTGTGGTGCAGCCTGAGCATTGAGACTCTTGAAGGCTCTTCCAGTTATAACCCAGGAGACCATCACTAGCAGGTGTAAAGGCCTCACTTTGCACYGACTGCGTTTCACAATGAGTTATGCAGGTTTCCTCCCAGGAGTACTGCCTGAGGCTCCTGCCTTCAACTAGCTGAGTGGATGGGACAGCCTGGTGAACCTGGGATGGCAGAGGACATTCCGGATAGAAGTGTGACACTGAAAACATGGCCCCCTAACCCAGCTGGAAATTACTGAGGCTCGGGAAAAGCAGAGAACTGAGAAGATAAAGTTGGTAATTCCTTTTCTTACCAGAAATCAGAAAGCATTTATTTCTGTTGTCCAGGTAAATAGGAATCTAAGTTATACTAAAATCATCTTGTTTAGACCAGAACGTCAGACACACAGGGGCAAAGATCGCCTCCATTCCCTTCCCAGGAATCCTGACAGGTGGGAATGGGCTCATCTTTACCCACGGTGTCCATGACGAGGGCTTCCAGCTCACCGGATCAGTGAGTCCACAGGAGAACTGSCTTCCCTCATAGGAAGCAGATGGTGCTGGGTACCTGCCCCAAAGGCAGTCAAGCTCTTTCTTACCAAAGGAAGGATGTCACGRTCAGTACAGTACTCACATACCTCCTTGGGAACCTACAAGACAGAAGATAAAAGCAGGTTACCTCAACCTAGATGCCCTTCAATAGATGAATGGATAAAGAAACTGTAGTATCTACACACAATGGAATATTACTCAGCATTAAAAGATAATAAAATTATGACATTTGCAGGTAAACGGATGGAGTTGGAGAATATCGTGCTAAGCAAAGTAAGCCAATCCCCAAAAAAAACAAAGGCCAAATGTTTTCTCTGATAAGTGGATAAGGGGAGGGAGGGGATAGGAAAGATGGTGGGATGCGATGGACATCATTACCCTAGGTACATGTATGATTGCCTGAATGGTGTGACTCTACTTCATATACAACCAGATAAATGAAAAATTGTGCTCCATTTGTATACAATGAATCTAAGAGCATTCTGCTGTCATGTATAACTGATTAGAACAAATAAAAAAAATTTTTTTTAAAAAAAAAGCAGGTTACTGAACAGCTCAAGAGCCTCCCTTTGTGCTTTTGCATTCCTTCCTACAGGGGAGATGATAGATTGTAGATGAYAGATTTCAGTAGCTTTAGTTGGTGCATGAGTGAGAAACTAGTTAGTATTTCTAAGTCTGGACAGTTTTTAATCAATTTCAAGGCCATTCATAAACTGCTAAGTCCTAGAAATCTGGGGGTGGAGGGCAGGTTCTACTTTTCTATTTTATTTTCTTGTGTATAATCTACAAAAATCCTAGGTTCTTCAAGAGTTAATAAAACTTCAGGCTTAAATAAGAGCTGACCATCTTCTTACAAACCTACAGACTTGGCTTCCCAGATCAAGGTCCTRGCCAGAAAAGGGAACTCACTCATCTTGAGCCATAATTTATCTTTCCCTTGGTCATCACAAGTGGTCCAAGAATAGGCATGTGACCCAAGTTCAGTCTATCAAAAAATTCTCTAGGATTTTTGTCACTGAAACTAAGAAAAGGAGCCCCTTCCCTTATACTCGTGATATTACAGGATAAAGACATCTAGTCTGGGAAAAGAGCACCCACAGTAAACAGGAGGTGTGGAGAGAAAGAGTCCTGGTAGCACCCAAGTCCCGTGTCCCAAGCATCCCTCTCCTTCCCTCAGTCTGGTCATGAGGTGATAAATTCCTTTCTTACCAGCTTAAGAATTAGGCTCTCTTAGTTACAACTGCAAATGTTGACTCCCACAAGAGATGAGTCTCAGATCCAGAATAGAAGCCCTGCCATGTGCTAGGCTAGAGAAGAAGACTCCATCCCCACGTGTCCTTTTCCCTCCTTCTTCTCTATCACASAGGCTATTTGGACCAGAAGGGCAGGGCAGGCATTGTTGGTGGCTAAGGTCAGTGGGCAACTGCCTACAACTCTGAGAAACAACAAAATGAGGGAAAATTGGGACCAGCAGGCATCCATTTGTCATTGGCAACAGACACGGAACAGTCTGGGGTCACTGTTTCCTCCTTTAATTTTGAGTTTAAACCCAAATCATCCATGCAGAGGCTCTGACTGTCTGGGAAAGCAGAGCCCCCCACCCCCCACCCCTCCCCCCATGGAAATCTCTCTTCTCCACTCCAGGCCTGAAAGCAGGGGCTTTTCCCTCCCCAGCAGGGGCTTCCCTAACCACTTTGGCAGTCTTTTCATAACAACTCGACCACTGCAGCTGCTATCAATATGCTCCAAATCCACCCCGCCAAGAGTCACTGGGCAGGAACTGAGCCAGGCAAGTGCAGCGAGACAGAAGAGAAGGCCTTAGCCATTGCCCATGGAGGGATGGGAAGAGACAGCTACCTAGGAAGTGCAGGATCCTGAGTGCAAATGACAGGCCAGCCTGGCAGGAGGCTGTTGTCACTGCAGGAAGGTAAACGGAGGAAAGACCAGACAAGCAGGGCTCTTTAGCCTTCAGGGATTCCTGGCTGCTTTTCAATAGGTGGCAGGTTTTTAGCCTCAAACTAGACTCCAGTTTCAGACAGTTAAGGCCAGAGAAGGAAGATACATGGATAAGAGTATGGCATCCCCAAAACACCAGCTACTCTACAATTCCAGCTGCTCCCTGCAACCCCAGCTGCTCCCTATAGCCACGGCTACTCCTACATTCATTCCCTCAATCTAATTTTAAAACTGCTTCTGTTCAAAAATGTCAGGCCTTAAATTATGTGCCTCTTATAAGAAGAAAGACCATGGATCACACACATGAGAGTATTTCATAAGCAGCTATAATGTGATGCCTGAAGAACTGGCATGCTTTATGTATTATTTATGAATGCAAATGCTATATCACACAATGCTATCATGAAACGAATGACTATGTAAGGTAGACTCAATGCATGGAGAATTGGAAGCATTATCTCTGAGTAGCTAGCTCACCCTGCAGCCATGTCTGCTTACTCTTCTCTCTCCAGAACCCTGACTTTCAAGCTGTTGAGATGCACATGGTATTCCCTCAGGCTAGAATGTTCTCCCTGCTGCACCTTTGAAATCTAGGAAATCTTTTGAGGCTCTGATCAAAGTCTCCTTCTGCATAAATCTGAGGATCGCCCAGCCCACCATGTTGGTCACAATCATAGCTGATTAGACTTGCCCAGTGGTGTGTGTCTGATTTTCCACACTAGATGGTAAGCACTCTGAGGGCAGTAACCATGATATTCCTGTGTGTCCTCGATTTTCATCTCCACACAGGGTATATTGTAGATGCTCACTAAAGTTTGTTGTATTGGCATGCATATAAAAAGTATCTTCTTATGTTTTTATGCCTATAAGCAATGATTCTGGTTTTGTAATATTTACATTTTAGGTGAGGCTAGAAGAGCTGATCAGGAGTAGAATTGTAATTTATTTATTTGCAATTCTTTATCCTGCCATTAAGCAGTAACTATTCCATATACCATCCCTCCAACATGTAACACACACACACACACACACACACACACACACACACACACAGTGTAAGGCCCTAAATTCTAGAATATGAAAGATTAAGGGGTGGAGGAGGATGGTATGAGTTTGGCAATTGCACTTTTCTTTACTGGTTATAGCACTTCTTTTTCTTGCATATTGGGCCATTGGACTGCCTATCAGCTTTTGGTCTTTTTGATTAAAATTATTATTATGTTTTTATCCCAAGAAAATCATTTTTAACAAAATTATAAAAAAAAAAAACCACCACAATCACCATGAATCCCTCTGGAATTTGTTCTATGGAGTCTTTGCCTGTATGAAGAAGTAGATTCCAATTTGTTCCTTGCTGGGTCATCAAGACCTAAACATTTTACTTTAAAATATCTGCGAGGTTAAGTTGGCAGAAGCGTGGTTACTAGGGGAAAAAATTGGCATAGTGAGCCACAGGCTGAAGGCCAAGAGCTGTACTGGTTGTGTTCCCCAATCTAGAGACATCAGAACCCAAAAAGGCCGTGTGTCCCCAAGCCATGCTCTGTATGTTCCACAAATGTCTCCAGATTCCCCATGGTGAGAAGAAGGGAGTTTGTATCTTCAGCTCCCAAATCTAACCTTCTTCTCCTACCTAGTGATGCCTATCATCCACCCATGTGACCTCAAGTGCCTTTTGCCTCCATGTTCTTCTGTCTCTTAAGGTGCCTATACTTGGAAAAAGCATCTAATAAACAAATTTTCACTGAGTTTTTAATTAACAGGCAAAGTTAAGGAATTGCACATCTCAGTGCTAACAACAGAGACTTGAGCCATAGGAATGAATCTCTAATTATGGAATTCAGACCTCAGTAAGGCCATTGGAAGAGGTATTAGGAGAATAAAGACAATGCTCGATTAGGAATATTTAAGCAATAGAATATGCAGTCTGATTATGGGCCAACACATTCAGACCAAAAACATGAAGTTTACAGTAAATAAGAACCCAACTCTTCAATACCTGGTAGATAGCATAGCCGATGCTAAGCATGCCCTGCCCTAGCTTCTTCTGTCGCCTGCGATTTTTCTGCATCAGACCCAACAGCACCGTACAGCAGGGTTCACCAACTCCCTCCTCCTGGTCTTCATCTACCTCGTCCAAATGGATTTTGAACTGTGGATTAGTCCAGTAAGTGGCTAGAAATCGCCCAGTAGTGGTGGTTCCATTGTTGGGGGGTGAGGAGATGGGAAAGAATAAAATAAAAAAAGAAGAATCTTGATCATCCCATTGAAAGCATAACTCTGGCCAAGCCATGCCTGGTGAGCAGACCCCAGGAAGTGTTTTTTAAAGGAGGTCAGGCACTTCTCCTCCCTCCTTCMCACACCACACATGAGCAGACTCATCCCACAGCACTAGGAAAGACTGCACCTGTCCATTTCATCCACCCAAGCATTCAATCAAAGCCAGCCCTGCTTGACTGGGAATATTCAAGTTCCCAGGATCCTGGGATTACCCTGGGCTGGGCTGGGAAGTAACCTCTAAGTCTCACTGGGGAAATAGTTAATAGCTCCTTGTCCCCAGCTCCTGGACTGTGGGGAAAAATCCCAGAGGAAGGGAGATCTCATGAGAAAAGCATGTCTGAGACAGAAGAGGACAGAGTCCCAGAAGAGTCTAGCTACCAAGAAGAGCTCCCCCGAACAGCTAGAAAGCCATCTGACTGGCATATGTTCTCCCTCAGAGAAGATCCCAGCTTCAACAGCCCAACGCAACCCTGAGAACAAATCCTCTGTCCACCAGCCCAAGGACCTCATGATGATAACGGTGTTGCAGCCCATTGATAAAACACACTCCCTTCAAGAGAAAGTCATTTAATCATGCATGAAGAATCATGCAATTAAAAAGCATTTGTACACACCATCTATGGATATTTAAAAGGAATTCTTCATTTCAAAGATGAAGTTAATTTAAAACAAAAACAAAAAACTCTCTGTTTGGTGACTGCACAAGCCAAGAGGCACAGAGAAGTGAAAAGGATCATCCAAAGGCACACAGCAGCAATTCTATGACAGTTCAGAGCAGAAGATAATTGAAAAGGATCAGCCTGACAGGTGTCTCTAGGCAAGGGCCTCAACAATTTCAATAATGATGTGCCCTGAGGGGACAAAGGAGTGGGGAAGGGTAATTGGTTTTTGAACTCTGTTTCGGTTTTATTGTTGTTGTTTAGATTTGGGTTTTTTGCATCCTCTAAGTGAGGAGCCAACTCCATTAAATAACAATAGCACTCCCAGGTGATCAAGAGCCACTGGTTATTTTTTTCTTAACWGTATTATTCAATTCCACCTTCCCAGAATCTCCACTTCCAGATTTTTGATTTGAGGCACAAGTGTATGGATTTTAAAGCCAATGATCTGTAGATTCCAGGGGAGATAGAAAATTCGGTAATCTTCTATGCTTACATCGTTACCAAAGGGCAAGAGSAATCCATCTCTTCCTGACAGCTAGTTGGCAGCACAGATGGGATTATGATTTGGTACAGACAGATACCTTGGGCACCCCCTACAGTTCTGAGCTCCCAAAATGATCCCTGCGAATTTCCTCTACATTCTCTAAGAGCTTGCTAATGGTGAGCATATTTTAATTTCTCCCAAATGCAACATTACTGCAATCCCTACATTTTTTGTTTACTCCTTAACAGTACTGTAGGAAGAGAATGGGCCATAAAGATAATACATCCCATTTGTATGACGCTACACAGTTTACAAAGTGCTTCCTTACACGTTCTGCTTTAAGATGYTCACTGAGACCCAAGTGAGGTCGAAAGTTAAGAATTATCACCCCATTCTGAGGATCAAAAAACTGAAGCTTAGGGAAGGGAAATGTCCCTCCCAGGAGTTCACAGCTGTTCAGCTAAGCAACAGGGCCAGGACTACAGACTCCCCTCATTCCTGTCTGCCCAGCATTCTGGTTTCTGCCACCAAAAAATAGGAACTCTGGTTAGATAAGGATGGAAGAGAGACCTTGTAAGCCCCCAGACCATATCCACATGGGATTTTATGATAATGCCACTTCCTGCACTGAGCTGTGTGCTGAGAACAACATGACTGGCCCCACCCCTGAGCATACCCGCTGAGTCAATCAACCCAAATCAACTCATCAACAGCAAACTCGGCAGGGAGTGGGAAAGGGGGGGTTGCAAAGTGAAGAGAGTAGGTTTAGCTTTCCTTCATTTCTCCTTAAGAGATGTGGAGTCATTTTTCAGAACTTCTTCATCAGGTGCTGCTTCGGCAGATTCAACCTAGGAGGAGCCTATACATGTACATATTAGTGATCTTTTGTGAACCAGGGAAGACTACCCCCCTTTAATAAGATGAGGACCCAGGTTAGTGTGGAAGCAATGGTTTGCACCAGGCTCTCCCTGCAGGCAAGCCTCAGTGACTCCTAGAAGAGTGCAAGGTGGCCACACGCATGCCCTGTGTGTGGCCACCCCTGACCTCCACTGTCTCGCCCTTCCAACTCTGACTCAGATGCCCACACAGAGCAAACCAGATACTCTGTGGGGTGCTGCCTATAGGAACAGCAGCTGTTGGGCCCGTGTTCCTCCAGCAGGGAAGCCCAGGAGAACAAAAGGTCTTAGCCAAGAGCAAGAAAGCGGTTAGTAAGAAGCACATTCTTTGGAGGCAGGAGCAGCAGGGCAAAGCAGGTTTGATTTGAACACACAGAAGCTGAGATCAGGCCACCCATCCTTGCTGCCCTGGCCTCTGAGCATGAGGACAACCAGGGCCTCTAGTCTAAAGACCTTATCCCAAGATTAACATATGAAGTCATCCGGCTCAGGGAGGACCAGACAGGCAGCGCTCCACCTTACCTGGGTAGTTCTGGCAGCCACCTGCGGTGGAACCCCKTGTCCAGCGGCCATTGAACAGCACCAGGTTCCATTTGTGCACCTCGTCACTGCTCAGAGAGTCTGGGGAAAGGTTGCAGATCTCCAGGCGGGAGAACTGCTTTAAGAAATCTGAAAATGACATCCTGGGGGGACAGAGGAACCGGAGGACTCTCAGTCAAGGGAGCTGGGCTGGAGGGGTGATGAAAGGGACACCCACTAGCAGAGTCCTGTGAGTGGTCTCAGAGGCTAAGGGCTCACTGACTCTGTTCAACAGTCCACTGATAGGAACAGGCCAAGGTCACCATCCAAATTCCTCTTTGTGGTTRGCATCTCAGCTCTAGAAGAACCCCACTTGCAGACCTACCAGCCACACAGAGTCAGGGCATGAACTGGAAGAGCCCCTGCCTTTGTCTAGGCTGGGTTAAGTCTGAGCCCATAGGAATTTTCTTCCTATTTAATTCTCAGTGATGTACCTCATAGAGATTTCCTCTAACTCCTACCATAGACAAAGGGGATCCTTATCATCTTCCCTAGCCTCCAGCAAAGGAAGCCATCCAATTGTGACGGTAAGGCSAATCTTAGCTCTAAAGAAGAAGAAGTAGAGCTCTCTGCTCATTGGAAAGGCAGACAGGCTTGTGGCTTAAGGCCCAGATATCTTGATCTGGGTACTTTAGATATATGAGTAAAGGTAGAATTATACTAGAGCAAAAAGGGGGTGAAGAATGAAAGACACCAAGCCAGGTGCAGTGGCGCACGCCTCTAATCCCAGCAGCTCAGGAGGCTGTGGARGAGAATTGTGAGTTCAAAGCCAGCCTCCGCAATGGCGAAGCTGAGCTGGGGATGTGGCTCAGTGGTGGAGTGCCCCTCAGTTCAATCCCCGGTACCAAAAAAAAAAAGAAAGACACCATGGCCAAGAACCTTGTCACTTTCCTAAAAGACCTGGAGATGGGCTGTGCCCACATCAGAACTTGGAATGGACTCACAACTAAGAGGTGGCTAAGCAGCCTCTTTAAAAAAAAAAAAAATATTAGTCATAAATAGACATAATGCCTTTATTTTTAAATATATATTTATTTTTTAGTTGTTGGTGGACACACAATATCTTTATTTCATTTTTACGTGGTGCTAAGGATTGAACCCATTGCCTCATGCATGCTAGGCGAGCACTCTACCTCTGAGCCACAACCCCAGCCCACAATACCTTTATTTTATTTGTTTATTTTTATCTGGTGCTAAGAATCAAACCCAGTGCCTCAYGCATGCTAGGCAAGTGCTCTGCCACGGAGCCMCAGCCCCAGCCCACTAAGCAGCCTCTTACCAGAACTCTCCATCCTCAGCTTTCCTGTCCAGCTCTTCCTTCTGCCTGGGATCTATGTAGTTCCATTCAGGTGCACTGGAGGGGGCAGGGGAGGAGCAGAAGTGGTCATTCCTGAGGGACAAGCTATTTACTGCATCAAAAGAGCCCCCTAAGGGCCAGAAACGGGGTCCCAAAATACAGCAGGTAGATGGACAGGCTGGACCATAAGGGTGGAACTACAGTCTGGAGAGGACATGAGGCACCAGCAGGTGACCTTGATATGGGCACCAGCAGGTGACCTTGAGCATGCAACAGAAGCATTATGGACCTGCTCTAACTGTCACTCCCTGAACAAGTTTTACATTTTCATATAGGATACCCGGGCCCCTGGCCACAAGAATGAGGAAGTCCAGGAGAGGAGACACAAGGGGCCCAGTGACAAGAAGGGCAGGCCCTCKAGTATCCTTTAGTAAGTTGTCATTCTGGCTCATCTGTCAATCTGGGATGAATATATTCTAAGAAGGTCTGGCCAGCTTAGGGTACATGGATATGGTCCACTTTCTAAGCCTGTAAGAATAACTATCAGGCCCAGTTTCATGGCAGCTTCCCTGAAGGAGTGTCACCCTGTGAGGCCTCCTGCTGTTGACCTTTCCTTGGCAATATCCATATACTTTGTTTAAATGCCATCTCCAGTTTATCTGACATTTCCAAAGTCAGGTTTTCCTGAAATACATATGCAACATCTAAATAACTGAGCAGTATCAAGATCCACTTAAAACACACACACACACACACACACACACACACACACACACACACACACACACCCCTACCTCTTTCCTAAATATTTTCAGCAAAACCCAACCCCTTCCTGCCCCAGCATAGAAGCTGAGGCACACCCAAGTTCAGCATCCCCCAGATCTGGCCTCCAATGCCCCAGGAATTAGCAGAAGAGTTTAGGAGAGTTCTTAAATTCATGGAAACACTCATTGAATCAGAATAGATCTTGGAATGTGCCTATTATAAATAAAGATTAGGAGACAAGTTGGAAATTTGCAGATCTAAATCTTCCAGTTGGTTTTCACAAACTGGGGAGAAGGGGGAYAAAAATCTATCTAGACATTGCACTGAGTTTAGGAATGTCATTTCAGAGATCCAGCACCCTCCGCCAACGGCCAGTATGTAAGTATTCCGAGCTGTGTCTAGCTGGTAGAGCCTCCGGGAGTTGACTCCACTTACACCCACACCCACTCCAGCCCTTGGGACTTTCCCACCCTGTCAGGGATTGGGTGGCATCAGGGAGAGGAGATGAAGTCAAGCAAACCCTTTTGACATCTTTTGAATGGCTTTTGGTGAAAACAGATAAAACTTGAGGTTTCTATTTGATTCAGTCATGTCATCCTTTTAGGGCAGATGGCAGAATTGAGGTTTTGGGGTGTGCTCAGTGTTAGGCAGTGGACTGGAAACTCTCATATAGGAAGCCCATCTTGTGTCCCTTCCTGACAAAGGCCTGGAGGAAAGTTCTGTAGCTCTGAGAGATAATAAGCCATATTATCCTTAATTAAATGTGATAAAGCACTTTCCTAAGGCCCTGTGACATCACAGAATATGGACAAAGGGTACACTCAAGGCTTAAGGATGTATTGGGAGAGGATAGGATGGTGACAATTCTCATTTCTAGTGGCTCTTTATTAATAAGATTTGTGCATTGTAATTCATTCCCCAGCACCAGCCTTCCTCCCCTGGGCCAGCTGTGCTAACTTGACAGAAAGCACACCACGCCTTCCCCATCCTCCGGTGTCACAGAGACATCAATTCCAGGACACAGCTGTCCCGGGATATCACCCTTTCTGAGTAACTTCCCCTCAAGCAGAAAGGCTGCCCTCCAGTCAATGATCAATACCCACCCAGGTCATGAGCTCATGGGCTGAGCAACACCCCCATTCATCAAGGCCTGCCTGGGGCCATGACTTCCAAGATCAAGTTTCATTTTCTCAGCATCATCATTTCCTTTCATAGCTGAGGGGCTTGGCCTTTTGTCAAAGGAACCAGTGCTKGTGGAGTGGAAAGATCAGATTGTGAATGATCGATATGACCACCACGGTGTAGTAGGTAGAAAACAGGTAAACTGTTTGGCACTAAGCAAAATTCAATGGAGCTGCCCAATTCTCAAATGCCAAGTCAGAAATTCGGAATTACAGACTCTGCTTTTCCCAGCCTGGAACCAGTTAATACTGTTCTGAACAGGCTGAGTGATTTTTGGACAGTAAGTACTTCAGAACTCACTATGATGTTGGTCTCATTACTGTGCTTCACAAGACACTTCTCTGTGGAAGGAAGTAATACTGGGGGAGGTAAAGAGGAACCTACTCATCGCTCCAAGCTCCCGTCCACTCCACTTCGCCCCATGGATTCCTGAGTCTGATCAGCTTCTCTGGGCAGCCACGGAAATCCACCTGCAAGGTCCATACACACAAAAGCAATTACTGCCTGCCCTGCATTCATGTGTGCACCTGGAAGGATTTGCATGAAATTTTTCAAATGTCCCTAAATGACCACACTTTTACTTTATTTTAACAGGTGCTTTCAGGCTTTGGCCAAGTGTTCTATTTTTCACAATTTGAATAAGTAAAGAGTGAGCGGAATACAAAATCAAGTTAATGACTTCTTTAACTTGGATTTAGATTTCATGGTTGACTAAGATTGACTCTGTTCTTAATATATGAGACATCACGGTACACCCTCTGAACGAATAGCACAGCAGTTAATATTCATTAAGTACATATGAACTAGGCACTGTGCTGAGCATTTCAAATGCATAATTGCCTCATTTAAACCTCAGAACAACCCTGTGAGGTGGGCACTATTATTATCTTCATTTTGCAATTCAAAAATCTGAGACATAGAGATGCTCAGTTTTCCAAGACTACTTAGCTATTAAGTGGTAGGTGCAAGATGAAAACCAGAAACTGTGTTGCAAAAGCCCAAGAGTGGGGATACCCATTGAATTTCTTTTTTTTCTTCTTCTTCTTCTTCTTTTTTTTCTTTTCAGAGGCCATTGGGAAATTCAAAGCAAAACCAATTTCTCAAAGATAACACTATCTTTAGCCTAGGTGGATGTATCTTAGTTGCATGGTGTCTATATTTTCCATTGTAAACCCTCCAAATGTTTTTGGAAGTAGTCAGAAGATTAAAAAAAATAAAATTAATGAAAATTATAGTCCAGGCTTTCAACTAATTGGGTTAGAGAACGAGAAACACCTGCTTGCCTTCTCATTATTATAGCCCTCCCTAAAGATGGAAGTGGGAATTTATCTTTTTTTCTTTTAGGGATCCTCTGCATTTCCACTGTTTACATAAACAGACATCTTACAATGAGTATAGAACCTGACTGACAATCTCTACAACTCTTCTGGCCACATCTCAGAAGAGAATTTAACTAGAACTCACAGAGATGCAGGTCAGAGGCATTAAGTTACCCATCCACAAGAGTGTAAAAATCAGAAGKGCCTTCGTAATGAGCAAGAACTAAGGGCACATCTGTGGCATCAAGGGCTCTGTGCAGCAAGGTGACCCTCTTCTCCAGCAGGGCAGGAAACACCAAAGCCAACTCTAAACCTCTTAGGTGACCTCCTGTCTCTTCTCTCAGATATGTTCTGGATTTGTGGTAACAACATKTCACATTGCCTTCCCCTCCTCCACCTAATTTTACCTCTTCAACTCCAGTAACAGAGTACGCATGACTCTTAACCAGCTTCTGGCTGGTGATGGCTTCTGCTTCAGCTGCACTGGAGACCTGGGTTGAGAAGAAAGTCAGTTAAGATAGCTAACCTGAATGCTTTGGTGTCGTCTCTTTCCAAAGATACACTACAAAGCCAGAGGGCCCCAGTGTGGAACTAGCAAAGCAATGAGCCTYAGGTAAATACAGCCGTCTCCATTCAACACTCTTTAATTAAGCCAGGCAGGTGCTATGTGGCTGCCAAGCTGGGAATCTGACTTACCAGTCATTCAAATGCCAGCAGCATTTATTCTCTGTGAGTATCCCTCTGCTGCCCAAAGAAAGCTATCCATTTTGGCAGCAAGAGAGAAAAGGAAAGTAGGTCTGCTCTCTTTGACCACCTTGAAAGTCCAGACAGGCAACCCTCCTGTCGGGGCATGACACCTACCTGGTTTCAGAACCTCTTTCCTTTTTCTTCAAGGATCTTCAAGTCCCTTAAGTATTATAAATCACATTCATTTTCCCAAATMTCAAGCTGATTTAGCAAAAAGAGAGTAACAAAGATAGAGTCTAGGATCCAGGGAGCAAGACTGTGTTCTCAGGGCAATTCCTGCAATACTAAAGAGGTTCTACCAGCAAGGGAGAAATCAGGGCTCCAATGTGATGAACCCCAGTTTCTATCCATTACTTAGGTCTTAGCCAGCTCACATGTGCCGTGGACACCAGACTTGCCCATTAAATCCCAGATTCTGTCAAAGCTTTCCCAGGCCTCTCCCTCCCTAWCCAGTCCCTTCTCGACCACACCCGGGTAGAGGAAACAAAGAAAAGTATCCTGGCTCACATCAATGGAGCAACCCAGGAGAGACCCCGCACGGAGGGCTTTTCTAATGATATGGTACAGATTGGTTGGTGGCTTCTTCAGGTCATAAAACTCGGAGATACCACCTGTGAAATCCTCAAACCCTTCCATTGTGGACCCTCCAGCAAGAGCCTCATAAGAACCATTGAGCCTGTTGGAAAAGAAAAAAAAAAAAAATGTGCACCATCCACAGCCATTTGCAACCCCAGCAGAGGACTACAAGGGTCGAGGGAAAAAATAATGTTTTGACATTGTGGTCTGGAAGGTCAAGGGGGGCCCTTTGCCAATTTTGACTCTGGGTCAGGAAGGGACTTAGGCCACTGTTTCACAAAGTCAGCTAGCATTTCACTAGCAATGGATCTCACACAACTTCTCTCCAGGCTACACACTCTTTTACAAAGCCAAGGGCAACCCTTCCACTGGTGACCCCAACCACTTAGTTTTCTGGAGGTTTCTAGGGAACAAAGAGAACCCTCTCTAAAGACTGAAAGGCATCTGCTGAAGCTCACTTAGGGAACAGGACTGGAATGGAACTGGGATTGCAGAAAAAGTTATCAGTAAATAAAATGAATTCAAAGAAGTAGTCTTTGAACATTGAATGCCAACAAGAACAATGACTCCTGAGGAAATGGTGGAACTTTGTTGATTTTGGTACCTAAGAATGTTTATTTTCTTCTTCATCATCATCATAATCTCTTTAAAAAGTCACATGGGACTAGGGTTGTATGTAGCTCATTGGCAGAGCGCATGTGTGAGGCACTGGGTTCGATTCTCAGCATTGCATATAAATAAATAATTTTTTTAARAAATCTCATATTGCCCTAAAATAAATGGGGTTTGAAAGAGAAAAAAGCTAAGACCCAGAGAGGCAAGGCAGCAAGTTCATCATCCCCACATTCCCATGGGACAGAGCTGAGATTTTAAGCTCCCAGACCAAATTTCCATTTCTCTTCATTCCCGAGGGATGCTCCTCTGGCCCTTGGAGATCCAAGTGCTGGGGAAGACTTGGCCGTGACACCCTGAGTTTGGGGAGGGGAAGCAGGTGTGGGAGAGGACAGGTGCCCCACTTACTTGGCATAGGCTTTCTCCAAAAGTGCGCTCCAGAATTCATTGCCTTCTTCAGAGTGTAGGAAGAGCAGCTGCCCGTTCTTGGTGGGCAGCCTGTCGTCAATGACCACCTCCACCCACTCTCCATACTGCCAGAACTGGGTGTGGGAAAGCACAATGGCTGCTCATACAAATCAAGAAAGGGAGTCCCTTTGGTGGCCCTCAGATGGGAACACTGTGCTGCCAGAGATCAAGTCTCAGGCGTTTCATGAACCCCAAGCTCCTGAAGAGCAGGATGTCAGATGAGCCAGGAAATACCTAGTTCAGTCTCTTGAGTTTGTGCTTAAGAGAACTTTCACAGCATCAGCCAGTGTGACAATGGGTGACTCATTCACTCCTTTCCTGATCCTCAGTCCAAAGTGCCTTCCTCAAGGGGAGATGGGAAGGAGATAGAGGCATGGATGATTAGATGCAGGTATTAAATCAATGGTTCTCCAGCTTAAGTMTACATGCACTGGAATCACTGGGAGGGATGGTTAAGCATAGGTTACTGGGTCCCACCCCCCCAAAATTTCTGATTCCATCTGAAGTGGAATCTAAGGATGTGGAAAGTAGTGACAAAGGCCAGGAGCAAAGCACAATACCTGAAAATGAAAGATGCCTGCATAGTTCTTCTGGAAGGTCTGGTCCCTGGGGACCACCCGGTAAAGCAGCTTTTCATTCAGGGTGAGAGAAGCAATGGCCGCCAGAAGCCAGCAATCACCTGCACAGTGTCATGGAGGACACAGACGGGTCAGACGGGGTTGGTAGGGTCTCTGCTTTCTCTGACTCCCACTGCCCCAGTCACTCAGAGTCCACGTCTGTCTTAGTCTGTTCTTGCTGCTATAACAAAATACCTAAGACTGGGTCATTTATAAAGAACAAAAAATTTAGTTCTCCTAGTTCTGGAAGCTGAGAAACTCAAGATCAAAGCACCAACAGATTCAGTGTCTGGTGAGGGATTGCTCTCTGTTTCCAAGATAGCACTTCATGTCTGAGTCCTTACATGGCAGAAGAATGGAAGAGCAAAAGGGCCCATCCCCCTTCAAGCCCTATCAGGGCACTAATCCCTTTCATGAGGGTAGAGTCCTCATGATTTAATCACTTCTGGAGGCCCCACCTCTTAATACTGTCACATGGGGATTTAGATTTCAGCATATGAATCTGTGGGGGACTCACCCATTCAAACCACAGTGACATCACACAACTCCCTTCTAAGTCAGGTGGTCAGATTATCTTCCTCTCACACGAGACTCACATGTAGCAATCGGCTCCTGGGGTCTCACTGAGAGCTGTCTACACAGATGGGGAAATTCTCTGCTCCTTCCTATCACCACTCCCCTCCCACACATGCTGACTATTTCACATCTCCTAGGCACCCAACCAGTGGGAAATGGAAAGAAAGCAAAAGGGAACAAAAATGAGTCCCTTTGGTCCCTTATTGGCAACTTTGATAAATTTGGTTGGGGGGTGGGGGGGGGGACATTGAAGCTGTGTAGCTAGCCCATAATGTGTGCATGTGAGTGAGAATGTGAGAGAGAGTGTGTTCCTTGCCCCTTGGGGCCTTGGGTAACAGGCATTGGCTCTGTGTGGTCTGTCTAGAGCATGGTCCTTTTGTTTCAGAGTTCACCGTGAAAGCGTTGATGGTTGCTTTTAACACTCTTGAGATATTGATTAGCATTAAATCATCATAATCTGAGGCAGAAAAAAAAATAAAAGTCAAGAGAGGTTAAAAATCCTGGAGCTGGCTGTTTGTCACTTTGAATATTTAAGTAAACTCAAGAACAAACAGAAAACCTCTTTCTGGGCAAGTCAGGACCTCCCAGGCCAATGGCCCTGAGTGGCACTTTCTGGGAAGGTGTAATTGTCCCTTAGTGTTGATTTCAAACAATTAAGAACAGGTGCCAGATGCTGATTGCTTACCTTAACATCCTATGGGGGACCTATCATCTTGCTCCTATTTATGAATATGCTTATTGCACACCAGCCTCTGGGTTCTCAACGTCCTTAAATGAACTTCTCATCATGTGAATGAATATTTCATCTTACTGGCCCAATGTTGCCTCTTTTCAGATTCACTACAGATCCCTAGCCCTAGAAGTCTGGGGTGTGGTGAATGAGTCCCTGTTTTGCCTATTTTTATTTGTCTCCACTGGCTCCAAAATCCAGCCATGTATCCCAGCCTTCATCTTTTCCATGGGAAAAAGTCTGAACCTTCTYTGTGTGTCTTCAGATAGAAGAAGACAGTTCAATGTTCTGGAGGCCATCCAGGTCCTTATCTAATCTACATTTTCTTTCAACCCTATGGTCAAAGTTGCATGCATGCTCCAGGTGAGGACAGAACTGGTTTTGTTTTGTTTTGTTTCTCAGATTCAGGTTGTCTATGCAAGTAGTAAACCATGGCCCCAGGAGCCACTTCTGAGGATCCGCAAAATCTCCATCACCAGGTCATCCAAGAAATCCTTTTTCTATCTTACCTTATCTTTTTCATTGAAGAAGCTCATGATTTGACCCCAAACTAATTTCTTTCTCCCAATCAGTCTCATACCTTCAATCAATTTCCTCTCTCTCTCTCTCTCACACACACACACATTTAGTTTTTGAAGGATTTTCTGACCCAGGAAGCAACCTCCTCCTGCCTCCCTCTTCACCAAGTTCCTCTTTACCTGATGGCATCAGAGCTTCAAGGTGACCCTAGAGATAGAGTTGGTATGGATAACAACCATGACTTCTGTTGCTTCTTACCACAAAAGTCTTGAGCAGGGCAATACCTCATTAAAAAAGCAACTTCTGCAGAGTGAATGAAATAACATAGTGTCCTCCTCCTTCCCCACTCCTCTCAACCCAGATTGCATCCTCTGATCACCTATGAGCATGTCGCTCCTCTGCTCAAAAACCTGCCGCTGACCTCTATTGCTTAGGAACAAAACTAAAAYCCCTGACAGGGCATCCAGACCCATCACAACACAACTCCACCTGCATCTCCAGTCCTTCTCCTTTATAGCCCCAGCATGAATCTAATCTCCCAGTCAGCCCGGAATATGCACAGAAAGAGCCCTGGTCTTTTTCGCTGTCATGCTTTTTCTCATTTGTTCCCTCTGTGTGCAATCTTAAAGGATAAGCTGCAACTCACCAGCTGAATCTTACCCATTATCCATGAAGCCGGCTCCGAAGCCTCTCACCCTCCAGATAAAAGCCATCTCTTATTTTTTTGTGTCCTAAAGACCTTATTTAACCTTCTGTTGCACATTTACCATGAATTGTCTCAGATGACAGTTAAAACCCAGACTGGACTCAAAACTCCATTCACATATCCACTCCTCACTGGTGAGTCCCTTGATCCTACCCTGGTTTTCCTTTAATGGCCTCAAACCCTCCCTTGTCAGAGCTCCCCAGCACTTCCCAAGGTCAACGATGGCATCTGATCATTTCTTTCCCATTTCTCTCTGATCTCTTCTGCAAAGCAGGGATGTGAAGTCCATAATTGTAGCCTTCCCAGAAGGTGACTAACATATAGTGGGAACCCTGTGAATACTTGAAAAATTTTAAAAATAAGCAAATGAACAAACAAATTGATGAATCATAACATATTTTGCAAATCTCCTACAGCACTCTCCAACAGCTCCTTATATACATTTGCACCTTAATCTCGCAGGTCTGAGGTCCGGTGAGGACCTGCATTGAAAATGACAAGTTCCACCTCTCCAACATCAAGGTACTTTGGTGTCTAAAGCTCTGAAGCAAAGGGAGATAAATAAGGAGACATGAGTGCAGATGCACAGTCCTCTGGGCAAGTTCAAGATGATGGCTCCACAACATCTCTGAAGCAAGTAGCTCCTCAAAGAGCCCACAACAGCTGTACAGCCTTCTTTAATGGGTGTGGCCCCAGCTCCCTTCTGATGTGAACTTGATTCTCCCAGTCTGAGCTACTTCTAACAGCCCACCCAGAACACTCTGGAGACATCATGATTCAAGATGCAGCACCAAAATATCCCTTGGATGCTGACATCAAACAAGGCTGCCCAGCCAGGGGAGAGGTTAATTTTCTCTTCATCTACCTCATTCCTGACATTTCACAGCCTTCACCAGGCTGTTGCTGCAAGCAGAGGCCCTAAGGAGATGCTGTGGGTGTGTAGACATTTGGATCTCTGCCAGTTACTATGTAACGTGTCAGTGGATTGTCGGGACAAGACCCTTTTTCCAAGGAACATGTCCAGATGAATGTGTTCCCCTTAAAAGGGTCTTCTTGGGACAACAGGCACTTATTCTGTCACTCAAACAGTTTAGAGACTTGTTTGAGGAACTGCTTCTAAGCTCATGGCACATTAGGGGGCTCTTCTCCAAGGGGAAACAGCCTTGATCTTTGGGCATAGTTTTACTTTCTGAAAGCAGGCAAGAGGATTTGGGATCCAAGTTTGGTGGCAAATAAGATAGACCAAAAAAATAGGAAATATGGACTAGTCTCTCCTCCCCAGACACCCTTCAGGTAGGGCTGGCCATGGGGTAGAGGTTTTACCCATGAGCTTTAAGCAGATGTCTGAATTCAGGAAAAACATCTAATTTCCTGAGGAAGTGGGGCAGACTAGCTGATCAAGACATTTTGCCCATTACCCTTCCCCTTTCCTCCCACCTAAAAAGTCCACCTTAGGCCTGGACATCACACAGCCACCTTGCAATCCCAAGGTTACATGTGCAAGATGACAGTCAACACACTCGGGAGACTAGAGTAGAAGCACAGTGTGAGCCAGGTCTCCAAGGACAWGAGCTATGTTAGCCCAGGGCTAAGCGCATACAGACTCCTTGTTATAAAAGAAAAATTAGCCCTCTATTAGTTCAAGTCACTAGCAGCTGGGTTGTATGCTGCTTGCAGCCAACATTTTCCTAACTGATCAAATGAGAATGACTATGAAGGGATTTGGTGTGCCCCATAAACAGGTTCAGAGAAAAAATTCCACGAAAGGAGCTCTTTCTAAAACGCTGGAAATATGCCGGACACCATGGTGCATGCCTGTAATCTCCATGGCTCAGGAGGTTGAGGCAGGAGAATCACAAGTTCAAAACCAGCCTCTGCAACATCGAGATGCTAAGTAACTCAGTGAGACCCTGTCTCTAAATAAAATACAAAATAGGGCTGAGGATGTGGCTCAGTGGTCAAGTGCCCCTGAGTTCAATATCCAGTACCCCCCCMAAAAAAAGAAAAAAAATGCTGGGAATGTCAGCAGTTGAAATACACACATTGTTCCATGCACTGGGTTGTATATATTCTGGGGTTACTAGAAGATCTGGCTGGGAATACCTGTATCTGCTCTCCAAAGAGGGAGGGTCAAAGCATACAGCGCTATAGAACATAAGCATTTGCATATGGGACCTCAAACAGCTGAAGCAGGGAAGAAGGCTGCCTAAGGAAATCCCAGGGCTCCCTCCACCCCAAAAAACATATATATGCTTTGCAATACAGAAAGGATGCTCTTCTAAAGGACATAGATGTCTTAGTTGTTTTGCTGTTGCTATAACAGAATATCTGAGACAGAGGAGTTTATAAAGGAGATGAGTTTATTTAGTTTGTGGTTCTGAAGGCTGGGAAATTCAGATACCAGCAAGTATCTCATGCTGCTTCAACCCATGGCAGAAAGAAGAAGAGCAAGTGGGCACAGACAGAGGAGAGAAAAGAAAGCCCATCTCCTGAAATAACAACTCATTCTCAAGAGAAAGCCATTAATCCTT